CCTTCCCTCTCCCTCTTGCTGTTGCCTTCCCTCTCTCTCTTGCTGTGGCCTTCCCTCCCTCTTGCTGTGGCCTTCCCTCCCTCTTGCTGTGACCTTCGCCCTCTCTTGCTGTGGCCTTCCCTCCCTCTTGCTGTGACCTTCCCTCCCTCTTGCTGTGGCCTTCCCTCCCTCTTGCTGTGACCTTCCCTCCCTCTTGCTGTGGCCTTCGCCCTCTCTTGCTGTGGCCTTCCCTCTCTCTTACTGTGGCCTTCCCTCCCTCTTGCTGTGGCCTTCCCCCTCTCTTGCTGTGGCCTTCCCTCCCTCTTGCTGTGACCTTCCCCCCTCTCTTGCTGTGGCCTTCCCTCCCTCTTGCTGTGACCTTCCCTCCCTCTTGCTGTGGCCTTCGCCCTCTCTTGCTGTGGCCTTCCCTCTCTCTTACTGTGGCCTCCCTCCCTCTTGCTGTGGCCTTCCCTCCCTCTTGCTGTGGCCTTCCCTCCCTCTTGCTGTGGCCTTCCCTCCCTCTTGCTGTGGCCTTCCCTCCCTCTTGCTGTGACCTTCCCTCCCTCTTGCTGTGGCCTCCCCTCCCTCTTGCTGTGGCCTTCCCTCCCTCTTGCTGTGGCCTTCCCTCCCTCTTGCTGTAGCCTTCCCTCCCTCTTGCTGTGGCCTTCCCTCCCTCTTGCTGTGGCCTTCCCTCCCTCTTGCTGTGGCCTTCCCTCCCTCTTGCTGTGGCCTTCCCACCCTCTTGCAGTGGCCTTCCCTCCCTCTTGCTGTGGCCTTCCCTTCCTCTTGCTGTGGCCTTCCCTCCCTCTTGCTGTGGCCTTCCCTCCCTCTTGCTGTGACCTTCCCTCCCTCTTGCTGTGGCCTTCGCCCTCTCTTGCTGTGGCCTTCCCTCCCTCTTGCTGTGGCCTTCCCTCTCTCTTACTGTGGCCTTCCCTCCCTCTTGCTGTGGCCTTCCCCCTCTCTTGCTGTGGCCTTCCCCCTCTCTTGCTGTGGCCTTCCCCCTCTCTTGCTGTGGCCTTCCCTCCCTCTTGCTGTGGCCTTCCCCCTCTCTTGCTGTGGCCTTCGCCCTCTCTTGCTGTGGCCTTCGCCCTCTCTTGCTGTGGCCTTCCCTCTCTCTTACTGTGGCCTTCCCTCCCTCTTGCTGTGGCCTTCCCCCTCTCTTGCTGTGGCCTTCCCTCCCTCTTGCTGTGACCTTCCCTCCCTCTTGCTGTGGCCTTCGCCCTCTCTTGCTGTGGCCTTCCCTCTCTCTTACTGTGGCCTCCCCTCCCTCTTGCTGTGGCCTCCCTCCCTCTTGCTGTGGCCTTCCCTCCCTCTTGCTGTGGCCTCCCTCCCTCTTGCTGTGGCCTCCCTCCCTCTTGCTGTGGCCTTCCCTCCCTCTTGCTGTGGCCTCCCTCCCTCTTGCTGTGGCCTTCCCTCCCTCTTGCTGTGGCCTTCCCTCCCTCTTGCTGTGGCCTTCCCTCCCTCTTGCTGTGGCCTCCCCTCCCTCTTGCTGTGGCCTCCCTCCCTCTTGCTGTGGCCTTCCCTCCCTCTTGCTGTGGCCTCCCTCCCTCTTGCTGTGGCCTCCCTCCCTCTTGCTGTGGCCTTCCCTCCCTCTTGCTGTGGCCTCCCTCCCTCTTGCTGTGGCCTTCCCTCCCTCTTGCTGTGGCCTTCCCTCCCTCTTGCTGTGGCCTTCCCTCCCTCTTGCTGTGGCCTTCCCTCCCTCTTGCTGTGGCCTTCCCTCCCTCTTGCTGTGGCCTCCCTCCCTCTTGCTGTGGCCTTCCCTCCCTCTTGCTGTGGCCTTCCCTCCCTCTTGCTGTGGCCTTCCCTCCCTCTTGCTGTGGCCTTCCCTCCCTCTTGCTGTGGCCTTCCCTCCCTCTTGCTGTGGCCTCCCTCCCTCTTGCTGTGGCCTTCCCTCCCTCTTGCTGTGGCCTTCCCTCCCTCTTGCTGTGGCCTTCCCTCCCTCTTGCTGTGGCCTTCCCTCCCTCTTGCTGTGGCCTTCCCTCCCTCTTGCTGTGGCCTCCCTCCCTCTTGCTGTGGCCTTCCCTCCCTCTTGCTGTGGCCTTCCCTCCCTCTTGCTGTGGCCTTCCCTCTCTCTTACTGTGGCCTCCCCTCCCTCTTGCTGTGGCCTCCCTCCCTCTTACTGTGGCCTTCCCTCCCTCTTGCTGTGGCCTTCCCTCCCTCTTGCTGTGGCCTTCCCTCCCTCTTGCTGTGGCCTTCCCTCCCTCTTGCTGTGGCCTTCCCTCCCTCTTGCTGTGGCCTTCCCTCCCTCTTGCTGTGGCCTTCCCTCCCTCTTGCTGTGGCCTTCCCTCCCTCTTGCTGTGGCCTTCCCTCCCTCTTGCTGTGGCCTTCCCTCCCTCTTGCTGTGGCCTTCCCTCCCTCTTGCTGTGGCCTTCCCTCCCTCTTGCTGTGGCCTTCCCTCCCTCTTGCTGTGGCCTTCCCTCCCTCTTGCTGTGGCCTTCCCTCCCTCTTGCTGTGGCCTTCCCTCCCTCTTGCTGTGGCCTCCCCTCCCTCTTGCTGTGGCCTCCCTCGTCTCAACCTTCTCTTGATTTCAGTTTTATTTTTAGACTCCAGAGTTTAATATTGCGCGCCCCCTGCATGTCCTTTTCTGTGTGTGTGTGTGTGTGTGTGTGTGTGTGTGTGTGTGTGTGTGTGTGTGTGTGTGTGTGTGTGTGTGTGTGTGTGTGTGTGTGTGGGGGATGGGGGGGGTGGGTGTTGCCAACTCGAGCAGGGAGCTTTTATTATCCACCACCAGCGCGAAATTCCCGCATTATCAGCCCCCCTTTGGTCTGAGGACGGCTTATTCGTGCCGACTGCATAATGGGAACACTGTGGCCAGGCGGTGGGGGCCATATTGTGGGGCCATGGTGGGCTCCTGGTGTCACAGGGGCCCAGCGGTGGCCCAGGAACACTGTGGCCAGGCTGTGTGGGCCGTATTGTGGGCCCATGGTGGGTTCTTGGTGTCACAGGGGCCCAGCGGTGGCCAGGAACACTGTGGCCAGGCTGTGTGGGCCGTATTGTGGGCCCATGGTGGGTTCTTGGTGTCACAGGGGCCCAGCGGTGGCCAGGAACACTGTGGCCAGGCGGTGGGGCCCGTATTCTGGGGCCATGATGGGCTCCTGCTGTCACAGGGGCCCAGCGGTGGCCAGGAACACTGTGGCCAGGCGGTGAGGGCCGTATTGTGGGGCCATGGTGGGCTCCTGGTGTCACAGGGGCCCAGCGGTGGCCAGGAACACTGTGGCCAGGCGGTGGGGGGCTGTATTGTGGGGCCATGGTGGGCTCCTGGTGTCACAGGGGCCCAGCGGTGGTCAGGAACACTGTGGCCAGGCGGTGAGGGCCGTATTGTGGGCCCATGGTGGGCTCCTGGTGTCACAGGGGCCCAGCGGTGGCCAGGAACACTGTGGCCAGGCGGTGGGGGCCGTATTGTGGGGCCATGATGGGCTCCTGCTGTCACAGGGGTCCAGCGGTGGCCAGGAACACTGTGGCCAGGCGGTGGGGGCCGTATTGTGGGGCCATGATGGGCTCCTGCTGTCACAGGGGCCCAGCGGTGGCCAGGAACACTGTGGCCAGGCGGTGGGGGCCGTATTGTGGGGCCATGATGGGCTCCTGCTGTCACAGGGGTCCAGCGGTGGCCAGGAACACTGTGGCCAGGCGGTGGGGGCCGTATTGTGGGGCCATGATGGGCTCCTGCTGTCACAGGGGTCCAGCGGTGGCCAGGAACACTGTGGCCAGGCGGTGGGGGCCGTATTGTGGGGCCATGATGGGCTCCTGCTGTCACAGGGGCCCAGCGGTGGCCAGGAACACTGTGGCCAGGCGGTGGGGGCCGTATTGTGGGGCCATGATGGGCTCCTGCTGTCACAGGGGTCCAGCGGTGGCCAGGAACACTGTGGCCAGGCGGTGGGGGCCGTATTGTGGGGCCATGATGGGCTCCTGCTGTCACAGGGGTCCAGCGGTGGCCAGGAACACTGTGGCCAGGCGGTGGGGGCCGTATTGTGGGGCCATGATGGGCTCCTGCTGTCACAGGGGCCCAGCGGTGGCCAGGAACACTGTGGCCAGGCGGTGGGGGCCGTATTGTGGGGCCATGATGGGCTCCTGCTGTCACAGGGGCCCAGCGGTGGCCCAGGAACATTGGACAAACCACCTTAGTTCACCTGCCTTTATCCCTCACATGGTACTCAACCCTTTTATATAAATTTACCATCTGTTTACATAGTCAAATCGGAAGGGACTGAGCTCTGTTACCCAACAAGATCACAGAGCTCATCAATAAGAGAAGAACATGCATTGTGGCCAGTCCTCTGGCCGGATGAGAGGCTTCAATAAGGGACATTTAACTATCCTGCTTGACCAGTCCAGCAAAAAGAGGCGTGGACCGGGCCGCGGGGACATTGAGCCACGAAAATCATCGCAAGGGTTCTCTGGGTCCTTGGAGATGGCAATTACTCTACTTTCTGTTAAGTAGATTGTCTCCAAGGAGGAGAGTCTTAGGGGGGGGGAGGAGAGTCTTAGGGGGGGAGGAGAGTCTTAGGGGGGGGGGAGGAGAGTCTTAGGGGGGGAGGAGAGTCTTAGGGGGGGGATGAGAGTCTTAGGGGGGGGATGAGAGTCTTAGGGGGGGGGGGGAGAAAGAGATCAGCAGGAGATATCTCAACAGCCTGGTTGATCAGACCACACACAGAGATCACATTAACGTGATGCATCAAATGAACAAATCCACAAGGGCCGTGACGAGGATTCGAACCTGCGTCCGGGAGCATCCCAGACACTGCCTTACCAGACACTATAACCCTGTCGTAGCTCAGTCGATTAAGGCAGTGTCTGGGATGCTCCCGGACGCAGGTTCGAATCCTCGTCACAGCCCTTGTGGATTTGTTCATTTGATCAGACCAGTTGGCGCAGTGTTTCGCTGTCTCAGTGTGTGGAGCACTTGACTCATCCCCCCCCCTCCCCCCCGGGATGGGTATCGGGTGTATAATAAGTAAATGATGAATGACATTCGCGCTTATACCTGTTTTTTTGTTTTAAATACAAAAGTTACATGGCAGTCATTATATCATAATGTCTGTTCCATATGTTATATGTTGAGTTCCATATGTCATAGCAGTTTCATATGTCATAGCAGTTTCAGGTATATCAGTTCCATATGTCATAGCAGTTTCAGGTATATCAGTTCCATATGTCATAGCAGTTTCAGGTATATCAGTTCCATATGTCATAGCAGTTTCATATGTCATAGCAGTTTCAGGTATATCAGTTCCATATGTCATAGCAGTTTCATATGTCATAGCAGTTTCAGGTATATCAGTTCCATATGTCATAGCAGTTTCATATGTCATAGCAGTTCCAAGTATATCAGTTCCATATGTCATAGCAGTTTCAGGTATATCAGTTCCATATGTCATAGCAGTTTCATATGTCATAGCAGTTTCAGGTATATCAGTTCCATATGTCATAGCAGTTTCATATGTCATAGCAGTTCCAAGTATATCAGTTCCATATGTCATAGCAGTTTCAGGTATATCAGTTCCATATGTCATAGCAGTTTCATATGTCATAGCAGTTCCAAGTATATCAGTTCCATATGTCATAGCAGTTCCATATGTCATAGCAGTTCCAAGTATATCAGTTCCATATGTCATAGCAGTTCCATATGTCATAGCAGTTCCATATGTCATAGCAGTTCCAAGTATATCAGTTCCATATGTCATAGCAGTTCCATATGTCATAGCAGTTTCAGGTATATCAGTTCCATATGTCATAGCAGTTTCATATGTCATAGCAGTTTCAGGTATATCAGTTCCATATGTCATAGCAGTTTCATATGTCATAGCAGTTCCAAGTATATCAGTTCCATATGTCATAGCAGTTTCAGGTATATCAGTTCCATATGTCATAGCAGTTTCATATGTCATAGCAGTTCCAAGTATATCAGTTCCATATGTCATAGCAGTTCCATATGTCATAGCAGTTCCATATGTCATAGCAGTTCCATATGTCATAGCAGTTTCATATGTCATAGCAGTTCCAAGTATATCAGTTCCATATGTCATAGCAGTTCCATATGTCATAGCAGTTCCATATGTCATAGCAGTTCCATATGTCATAGCAGTTCCATATGTCATAGCAGTTCCATATGTCATAGCAGTTTCATATGTCATAGCAGTTCCATATGTCATAGCAGTTTCATATGTCATAGCAGTTCCAAGTATATCAGTTCCATATGTCATAGCAGTTCCATATGTCATAGCAGTTCCATATGTCATAGCAGTTCCAAGTATATCAGTTCCATATGTCATAGCAGTTTCAAGTATAGCAGTTCCATATGTCATAGCAGTTTCATATGTCATAGCAGTTCCAAGTATATCAGTTCCAAATGTCATAGCAGTTCCATATGTCATAGCAGTTCCATATGTCATAGCAGTTCCATATGTCATAGCAGTTCCATATGTCATAGCAGTTCCAAGTATATCAGTTCCATATGTCATAGCAGTTCCAAGTATATCAGTTCCATATGTCATAGCAGTTCCATATGTCATAGCAGTTCCATATGTCATAGCAGTTCCATATGTCATAGCAGTTCCATATGTCATAGCAGTTCCATATGTCATAGCAGTTCCAAGTATATCAGTTCCATATGTCATAGCAGTTCCATATGTCATAGCAGTTCCATATGTCATAGCAGTTCCATATGTCATAGCAGTTCCATATGTCATAGCAGTTCCATATGTCATAGCAGTTCCAAGTATATCAGTTCCATATGTCATAGCAGTTCCATATGTCATAGCAGTTCCATATGTCATAGCAGTTCCATATGTCATAGCAGTTCCATATGTCATAGCAGTTCCAAGTATATCAGTTCCATATGTCATAGCAGTTCCATATGTCATAGCAGTTCCATATGTCATAGCAGTTCCAAGTATATCAGTTCCATATGTCATAGCAGTTCCATATGTCATAGCAGTTCCATATGTCATAGCAGTTCCAAGTATATCAGTTCCATATGTCATAGCAGTTCCAAGTATATCAGTTCCATATGTCATAGCAGTTCCATATGTCATAGCAGTTCCATATGTCATAGCAGTTCCATATGTCATAGCAGTTCCATATGTCATAGCAGTTCCATATGTCATAGCAGTTCCATATGTCATAGCAGTTCCATATGTCATAGCAGTTCCATATGTCATAGCAGTTCCAAGTATATCAGTTCCATATGTCATAGCAGTTCCATATGTCATAGCAGTTCCATATGTCATAGCAGTTCCATATGTCATAGCAGTTCCATATGTCATAGCAGTTCCATATGTCATAGCAGTTCCATATGTCATAGCAGTTCCAAGTATATCAGTTCCATATGTCATAGCAGTTCCATATGTCATAGCAGTTCCATATGTCATAGCAGTTCCAAGTATATCAGTTCCATATGTCATAGCAGTTCCATATGTCATAGCAGTTCCATATGTCATAGCAGTTCCATATGTCATAGCAGTTCCAAGTATATCAGTTCCATATGTCATAGCAGTTCCAAATGTCATAGCAGTTCCATATGTCATAGCAGTTCCATATGTCATAGCAGTTCCATATGTCATAGCAGTTCCATATGTCATAGCAGTTCCAAGTATATCAGTTCCGCAATCTCTCACTGTCTTTAGTGTCTGAATATCTGAATATCGTGTCTAAATATCTGAATATCGTGTCTAAATATCTGAATATCGTGTCTAAATATCTGAATATCGTGTCTAAATATCTGAATATCGTGTCTAAATATCTGAATATCGTGTCTAAATATCTGAATATCGTGTCTAAATATATGAATATCGTGTCTGAATATCGTGTCTAAATATCTGAATATCGTGTCTAAATATCTGAATATCGTGTCTAAATATATGAATATCGTGTCTAAATATCTGAATATCGTGTCTAAATATATGAATATCGTGTCTGAATATCTGAATATCGTGTCTAAATATCTGAATATCGTGTCTAAATATCTGAATATCGTGTCTAAATATCTGAATATCGTGTCTAAATATATGAATATCGTGTCTGAATATCGTGTCTAAATATCTGAATATCGTGTCTAAATATCTGAATATCGTGTCTAAATATCTGAATATCGTGTCTGAATATCTGAATATCGTGTCTAAATATATGAATATCGTGTCTGAATATCGTGTCTAAATATCTGAATATCGTGTCTAAATATCTGAATATCGTGTCTAAATATATGAATATCGTGTCTAAATATCTGAATATCGTGTCTAAATATATGAATATCGTGTCTGAATATCTGAATATCGTGTCTAAATATCTGAATATCGTGTCTAAATATCTGAATATCGTGTCTAAATATATGAATATCGTGTCTAAATATCTGAATATCGTGTCTAAATATATGAATATCGTGTCTGAATATCGTGTCTGAATATCGTGTCTGAATATCTCAAGATAATTATTGGTTTTCACGGAGTTGGTCGTACGTGGCCAAAACTGTCAACTGTCAAGTCCTTTCCCTGCATGGGCGGCCATGTGTAAGATTCTCTTGGGTCACATTTGTCACGTCTGCTGTTCCTACCTGGCACCCCCCCCCCCCCTCGGTCAAGGGAGCCACTTGTCAAATTTTGCCAGGTGCTGACCCACACGGTGGAGGTCCGCTAATGTTTTGAAAAGCCTTTTCCTTGAACATTTTATCCTCTCACACTTCATTGCTCTGTTTACAAATGGGTCCAATTGGTTTACCTGATTCAGGCGATAGGGGGCCTCGATAGGATACCCCCGATAGGAGGTAAAAGGGGCCTCGTAGCCTGGTGGATAGCGCGCAGGACTCGTAATTCTGTGGCGCGGGTTCGATTCCCGCACGAGGCAGAAACAAATGGGCAAAGTTTCTTTCACCCTGAATGCCCCTGTTACCTAGCAGTAAATAGGTACCTGGGAGTTAGTCAGCTGTCACGGGCTGCTTCCTGGGGGTGGAGGCCTGGTCGAGGACTGGGCCGCGGGAACACTAAGCCCCGAAATCATCTCCAGATAACCGACAAGAGGGAGTGCGTTGTGTAAAGTGTTTAACATGCGAATGACTGAGAGGTCCGCCAGAGTGGAGCAACTCGAGTCTTTTGTAACACGAGGCTTGTGTGTGTGGGAGCGTCCTCGCCTCGTTATCAACCAATACAACGCCCCCAAACCCGTTACCTGGAGGTTACCTTGAGGTGCTTCCGGGGCTTAGCGTCCCCGCGGCCCGGTCCTCGACCAGGCCTCCTGGTTGCTGGACTGGTCAACCTGGCTGTTGGACGCGGCTGCTCGCAGCCTTCATCAAGCAGGTAGCAGGTAGAACTGCATTAAGCAGGTAGCCTGACGTATGAGTCACAGCCTGGTTGATCAGGTATCCTTTGGAGGTGTTTATCTAGTTCTCTCTTGAACACTTGTGAGGGGTCGGCCAATTATGTCCCTTATGTGTAGTGGAAGCGTGTTGAACAGTCTCGGGCCTCTGATGTTGATAGTTCTCTCTTGAACACTGTGAGGGGTCGGCCAGTTATGTCCCTTATGTGTAGTGGAAGCGTGTTGAACAGTCTCGGGCCTCTGATGTTGATAGTTCTCTCTTGAACACTGTGAGGGGTCGGCCAGTTATGTCCCTTATGTGTAGTGGAAGCGTGTTGAACAGTCTCGGGCCTCTGATGTTGATAGTTCTCTCTTGAACACTGTGAGGGGTCGGCCAGTTATGTCCCTTATGTGTAGTAGCAGCGTGTTGAACAGTCTCGGGCCTCTGATGTTGATAGTTCTCTCTTGAACACTGTGAGGGGTCGGCCAGTTATGTCCCTTATGTGTAGTGGAAGCGTGTTGAACAGTCTCGGGCCTCTGATGTTGATAGTTCTCTCTTGAACACTGTGAGGGGTCGGCCAGTTATGCCCCTTATGTGTAGTGGAAGCGTGTTGAACAGTCTCGGGCCTCTGATGTTGATAGTTCTCTCTCAGAGTACCTGTTGCACCTCTGCTCTTCAACGGGGGTATTCTGCACATCCTGCCATGCCTCCTGGTCTCATGTGATGTTATTTCTGTGTGCAGGTTTGGGACCAGCCCCTCTAATATTTTCCACGTGTAAATTATTATGTATCTCTCCCGCCTGCGCTCAAGAGAATACAGATTTAGGCTCTTTAGTCGGTCCCAGTAATTTAGATGTTTTACTGAGTGGATTCTAGCAGTAAAGGATCTCTGCACGCTCTCCAGGTCAGCAATTTCTCCAGCTTTGAAAGGGGCTGTCATTGTGCAGCAGTACTCCACTCTAGAGAGCACTAGCGTCTTGAAAAGTATCATCATTGGTATAGCATCTCTAGTGTGAAAAGGTTCTTGTTATCCAACCTGTCATTTTTCTTGCAGTTGTGACGGCTACTTTATTGTGTTCTTTAAAGGTAAGGTCTTCCGACATGAGTACACCCAGATCCTTTTACATACAACAGTTGATTGGCAAGTTTTCATGCTTGTAAACTGTTTAATAAATGTAACCAAAGCCGTCAAAGATTGAGGAAAGATGTACACGTTCGTAAGTACCTGCGTAAGTGCTTTCGTGAATCTGGCCCCAGATCCGTAAGTACTTGCGTAACTGCTTCGTGAATGTGGCCCCAGGATCGTAAGTACTTGCGTAACTGCTTCGTGAATCTGGTCCCAGATCCGTAAGTACTTGCGTAACTGCTTCGTGAATCTGGCTCCAGGTTCGTAATTACTTGCGTAACTGCTTCGTGAATGTGGCCCCAGGATCGTAAGTACTTGCGTAACTGCTTCGTGAATCTGGCCCCAGATCCGTAAGTACTTGCGTAACTGCTTCGTGAATGTGGCCCCAGGATCGTAAGTACTTGCGTAACTGCTTCGTGAATGTGGCCCCAGGATCGTAAGTACTTGCGTAACTGCTTCGTGAATGTGGCCCCAGGATCGTAAGTACTTGCGTAACTGCTTCGTGAATGTGGCCCCAGGATCGTAAGTACTTGCGTAACTGCTTCGTGAATGTGGCCCCAGGATGGTAAGTACTTGCGTAACTGCTTCGTGAATGTGGCCCCAGGATGGTAAGTACTTGCGTAACTGCTAAGTGAATCTGGCCCCAGGATCGTAAGTACTTGCGTAACTGCTAAGTGAATGTCGCCCCAGGATGGTAAGTACTTGCGTAACTGTGAAGGGAAGATCGGTCTCCTTGGAAGGTGGACTTGAGAGTCGCCAGCGGTGACAGCGGGTCCACGGCGCCATCTGAGTGCGCACCTTTGCCGCAGCCATTGCTAGCAAGGTTATCTTGAGGTTATCTTGAGATGATTTCGGGGCTTTAGTGTCCCCGCGGCCCGGTCCTCGACCAGGCCTCCACCCCCAGGAAGCAGCCCGTGACAGCTGACTAACACCCAGGTACCTATTTTACTGCTAGGTAACAGGGGCATAGGGTGAAAGAAACTCTGCCCATTTTTTCTCGCCGGCGCCTGGGATTGAACCCAGGACCACAGGATCACAAGTCTAGTGTGCTGTCCACTCGGCCAACCGGCTTCCCGCTCGGCCAACCGGCTATCTTTACTAGCGCCCCGCATCGTGTTAAGGGCTCCTTCTAACGGGCGGCCACCTGCCTAACTGCCCTATCTTGAGGTTATCTTGAGATGATTTCGGGGCTTTAGTGTCCCCGCGGCCCGGTCCTCGACCAGGCCTCCACGCCCAAGAAACAGCCCGTAGCAGCTGTCTAATTCCAAGGTACCTATTTGCTGCTAGGTAACAGGGGCATCAGGGGGAAGGAAATATTTTGCCCATTTGTCTCCGCCTCCACCGGCGATTGAACCCGGGACCTCAGGACTACGAATCCGAAGCGCTGTCCACTTAGCTATCAGGCCCCATCAGGAGGTGCTCGGGAGGTTAGGTTGATTAATTGGGTTTCTTCGTGTCTGGTTAGGCAAAACAGTTGCATTTGTTACGTAGTGGTAAATGGACGGTAGAGCAACGGTCTCGCTTCATGCAGGTCGGTGTTCAATCCCCGACCGTCCACAAGTGGTTGGGCACCATTCCTTTCCCTCGTCCCATCCCAAATCCTTATCCTGACCCCTTCCCAGTGCTATATAGTCGTAATGACTTGACGCTTTCCCCTGAAAACTCCCTCCCAGGGGGGGGGGGGAATGTTTACACTTAAAATTTAGATTGAGGAGCAGTTTAACAGCTTCTTGTTGTTGTTGTTTAAGATTGGCTACCTGGAACAAAAAGTTCCAAGTAGCACGGGCTATGGTGAGCCCGTATTTAACAGCTTTGCAAGTGAAATATTGTGAAAATGAGGAGTGTAATTTATTTTACATACACATTATGTGTGTATTCACCTAGTTGTGTTTGCGGGGGTTGAGCTCTGGCTCTTTGGTCCCGCCTCTCAACTGTCAGTCAACTGTTTACAAACTACTTTTTTTTCCACACCACACACATACACACACATACACACACATACCAGGGAGCAGCCCGTGACAGCTGACTAACTCCCAGGTACCTATTTACTGCTAGGTAACAGGGGGCATTCAGGGTTGAAAGAAACTTTGCCCATTTGTTTCTGCCTGGTGCGGGAATCGAACCCGCGCCGTGTGTGCGTGTTATGATAATATAAATGTTGACATTAT